AACACTTAGGGATTGAAGGGCTCACCCACAATTTAAACAACTTGTTTATTTAAAGGCCTATTGTTTTTCTTCCTGGCAGAAAACAATTATAACAATTCCTTTCCCAACAATTATAAACCAGCACAATTAAGGAGGTAGAATCAAATTGCTCCCCTTTTGATTTTTTAAACGTGCGATTAAGCTTTTCGCTCTTACGGTTAGGCAGTATGTCGGGGGTGTGTGTGTGAAAACACAAGAAAATGTTGGGTGAAAATTCTTCAAAGTAAAGAGAAAATAATAATTTCTTTCTTTCCTATATTTTTCTGTACTCATTTGTGTTGGAAAAATTCCTCATCTCTTCATTCCCCCAACTTCATGCAGGGTAAAATCTGGAGTTCTGTTGTCATTTTTGTGACTCAGCCTGTTTTCTTTTGGGGGGGTGTGTGTGTGGAGTTCAAGAAGCTAAATTCCGGTGTCAGTTTCTCTGCAATTTCCTTTTCCACTGCCGAGGGATAGATTGCAACATAAATTTGAGCCTGGAAGGAGCGGAAGATGGCGGTGCCTGTCAGTATTTCCATGACAAAACTCTGCTCTTTGGTTGCGCAGAAACCGATGGTTTGCCAAAAATCCCAGGAGGATTTGCAAGGCACACCTGCCTTCCCCTGCCTTGCTGCTGAACCGTCTTCTGGGAAGATTTGAAACCAGGGGCCCCTCAAACTTGGCAACTTTAAGACTTGTGGAAGTCCACAAGTCTTAAAGCTGCCAAGGTTGGAGACCCCTGGACTAGATGACCTAAAGATCCCTTGCAACTCTGTTAATCTGTTTTTCTCATCTTTCTTTTGGGTGATTTGGAAAATAGTTTGACTCGTCTTTTTGGGAGCCCCTTAGATATTGGAACACTGTTATCATGTCTCCCCTGGTCCTTTTCCCCCCCGACCAGACTAGACAGACCCACCTCCTGCAACCATCCTTCATATGTTTTAGCCTCCAACCCACCAATCATCTTTGCTGCTCTTCTCTGCACTCTTCCCAGAGTCTCAAGAATGAATGGGTGCTCCATCACTTGAGGCTTTCAAGAAGAGAGTGGACAACCCTTTTTCTGGGATTGTGTAAGGAACTTCCTGCCTTGAGTAGGGGGTAGCAGTAGAAGACCTCCAAGGACCTCCCAGAGCTATGATTCTCGTGCTCATCTTGGCTTAAGAGGTTCAATAAAATCTAGAATCGGAGAGAAGCCCTCTGCTTAAAACGGGTGCACATATCATTTTAGACCTGTGCACATCTCTTCAACCAATTCTGCTTGGATGTGTTTTTCCCCCATTAAATAAACACGTGAAAAGTTTCCTGTTTTAATAGGCCGCTTTCCCCCCCAGGTACAGCCTCTGCTACAGACCCAGTATTATTGTCTGTTTGTTTCCTGGCACGCCTCTTCCTCCCGTGGTGTGATATGTCAAGCTCATTTACTCACCGCAAGGTTTATAAGAGCGGTTGGGTGCAGATTTGCCTACCAGCCAGGCTGCTTCCTGAATCTTAAATCAGGCTGGCTCTTTTCCGTTCTCCTCTTTAGGCTCCTGCTAGCACTGATAGAAAGACTGAAATCCGTCTCCCTGCAAGTAGAAAGCTAGCCGAGCAAGGAGAAGAAACAGGAGGGGTTATTTTTCCCTGTAAGTGTTTTACTTGCGAGCGCCGTATGTGTGTAATCGGTCAGTTTCAGAGGTGGGATTCAGCCGGTTTGGACCAGTTCTGGAGAACCGGTAGTGGAAATTTTGAGTAGTTCGGAGAACCGGCCAATCCCACCTCTGACTGGCCCCGCCAACCCCATCTCTTCTCTGCCTCCCATTGAGTCCCAGATGATCGGTTGGGTCTTCTTTGATTGTCCTGCCCAGGAGAACAGAGCTGGGAAGCAGTTAGTGGGGTGGGGAGGGAAGGGGGATTTTGCAGTATCCTTCCTCTGCCACGCCCACAAAGCCACGCCACGCCACGCCCACAGAACGGGTAGTATAAAATTTCTGAATCCCGCCAATGGCTGTTTGCAATGTGTTTTTCAGGCAAACAAATTGTTTGCCTAAAACACACATTGTGCAGCTTATGTTCCAAAATAAAACAGCATCCACCTTCAGTTTGAGATGAAACCGTCTGTTGTGACAGTTCGTTCAGCTGTTTCAAGAGATCCGGCAGCGGAAATTGTACTGAAAGGAGATGGGGTGGAAACTTGGCAGGCAATGCAGACATAGGGGTTATTTTTTTTTCCTTTTATTCTTCAATAAAGCCCTCTCTTATCGTGCAGGCTGCCATTTGCTACACCTGCAAAGTCAGGGGTCCCAGAAAGCTTGAGATCCTATCCTAAAGAGGGCCAATACAGGTAGTCCTCGACTTGTCAGGGCTCCGACCTCATGACCTGCATCTCTCAGAGTTGAAAACAACAACAACACAAGATTTATTGGGAGTGGACATGCCGGCACTACCTGGGTGCGGCCGACTCTGAGACACATCATTCATTTCCCCCTTGATCCTGGGCTTCCCCCACCCCACCCCCTGGATGCATATTCTCCAATGGGACACTTCCATAGCCAAGAGTCATCAATCATGCACTCCAGTAATAATCTTGCGTGCCAGAAGCTTCGGCTGCCTAGCCACTATCTATGGAAGCATTTAAGGAATGCACTACTTCCCCAACTCTCTTTCTGCTGTCCACTCTAAAAGACCAGAGAAATATTTTTGAGTTGACACAACTTACAACAGTTCATTTAGTGACCATTCAAAGCAGACCATTCAAAGCATAGCTGGCTGGAGAATTCTGGGAGTTGAAGTCCACAAGTCTTAAAGTTGCCAAGTTTGGGGACCCCTGATTCAAAGTTCCGACGGCACTGGAAAAAAAGTGACTTCTGACTGTTTCTCACACTTACAACCGTTGCAGCATCCCCAAGGTCACCTGATCAAAATTCAGATGCTGGACAACTGACTCAGACTTACGACGGTTGCAATGTACGGGAGGGGAGGTCATGTGATCCCTTTTTTCCACCTTCTGAGAAGCAAAGTCTATGGGGAAGCCAGATTCATTTAATAACCGTGTTATTAACTTAACAACTGCAGTGATTCACTTAACAACAGTGGCAAGAAAGGCCATAAAACGGAGCAGAAGTCACTTAACAAATGTCTCCTTTAGCAACATACATTTTGGGCTCTATTGTGATTGTAAGTTGAGCACTAGAGAGTGGACTGGAGGCTGAAACATATAAAGAACAGTTACAGGAACTGGGCCTGGCTAGTCTAATGAAGAGAAGGACCAGGGGAGGCAGGATAGCAATCTTTCAATATTTGAGGGGCTGCCACAGAGAGGAGGAGGAAGGGGGTCGAGCTGTTTTCTAAGGCCAGAGAAAGAATAATGGATGGAAACTTAACAAGGAGAGATTCAACCTGGAAATGAGGAGAAACTTTCTGACAGTGAGAACAATCACAGGAGCTGCCTTCGGAAGCTGTGGGAGCTTCATCACTGGAGGCTTTCAAAAAGAGACTGGATTGCCATTTGTCAGAAATGGTGTAGGGTCTGCATGGGGGGGTGGACTAGATGACCTACAAGGACCCTTCCAACTCTGCTAATCTGTTAAATCTCTTAAACTACCAGTATTTTCCCTCCTGAAAATAAAATGGAAAATTCCCGCATTGCCAGCTGTCTCTCCTCCCTTTCTTCTTTTGACTTACTGAGATGCCATGGAAAACATTACCTCAATGATGGGTTTCTGTATACATAATGGGGAGAATGGAGAGGGCGGAACACTTTTCCTTTGTGTGGATTTGACACGTTCTGATTGTCTTGACTCATGTTCAGTTTTACACAGGTTTCCCCCCCTCCTAAGAATCCTGGTTAGAATCTTACCTCTGTAGTATGTTGCTTTTTGAAGGAATGACTTCCATAGCAACTACAGGGAGTCCTCAACGTAGGGCCACAATTGAGCCCAAATCTTTCGTTGCTAAGCAAGACAGTTGTTGAGTTTTGCCCCAGTGTGTGACTGGTTAAGTGACTCTGGCAACTCCCAGAATTCTCCAGCCAGCATGGAGGACTTAACTTTTCTTGCCATTAAAATTCGTTTTGTAATATAAAACAATAAACACTAACATGCCTGGCTGAGGAATTCTAGGTGTTGGAAGTCCACAAGTCTTAAAAGTTGCCAAGTTTGGAGACCTCTGGATTAAACCATCCATGTTGTTGGCCGGGGAATTCTGGGAATTGAAGTTCACACATCTGTCAATCATCCCAACTTGGTCAGTTAGGAAAAAAAAAGGCTCACAGTCTCATTTTAAGCCAAAAGTACACTTTACTAAAGCCAAGTGGCTGCAAAAGAAGCAAAGCCGGATCTGAGTTTTTCGCACCCAAAGGGTAACTTTTCTCTTGTTCCCATCTTGCCCACCTAACAAATTATTTGGGTAACATTCCTGGTCTTCCATGGACTGAAATTTCAAAATGTGACCTTGGATCGACCGGTGGCTCTCGTGGAAAAGTCTGGTGCTTAGTTTTGATTCTTCTCATGCTAACTCTCCCCTTATCCCACCCCACCAATCTCTCCCCTCCCCATTGAGGATCAGGCACTTCACAGTGCTTTTAGAGCCCTCTCTAAGCGCTTTACAGGGTCAGCCTCTTGCCCCCCCAAACAATCTGGGTCCTCATTTGACCCACCTCGGAAGGATGGAAGGCTGAGCCATCCTTGAACCAGTCAAGATCAAACTGCTGGCAGTCGGTAGAGTTAGCCTGCAATACTGCATTCTAACCACTGTGCATCATGGATGGATGGATGGATGGAGGATCCCCATCCCACTAACCTGCTTTCCAGCTCTGTTCTCCTGGGCAGGGCAACCAAAGGAGACCCAGCCGATCAGCTGGGACTCGATGGGAGGCAGAGAAGAGACGGGGTTGGCGGGGCCAGTCAGAGGTGGGATTGGCCGGTTCTCCAAAACCATTCAAAATTTCCGCTGCTGGGTTCTGGAGACCACCACTGCCCTAACGTGTTTTCTTCTTTCTTTTTTAGCTTCTCACCAGCCGTGTCCAAAATGTCTTCAGAGTCAACTTCAGCCCACCAACGGTCTCCACCTCCCAGGGCTCTCCGTCTGCCCGAAGGCCGCCGGACCAGAGACCGTTCTCCTTCCCCTATGAGAGGTTATCTGATCCCGAGCCCACTTCCGACTCGCAGGAACCGCACGTTTTCAGCGTGAGTATGGAGCCGAGGAGGTGAGACCCTGGTTGGGGAGGAAGGAGAAGGCATCTAGGAGCCCTTTCCCATTGTGAAATAGTGCAGTTGGTCAGAATTTGGGGCTCCAACTCGATCCGGAGGGCTGCACAAGAATAAATAAAAATAAAATCCAGACAGCGGTGAGGAAAAAAGAAATATATATTTCAAAAAGCAGTTTGCCTTTAGGGGCAGCTGTAGAGGAGTGGGGTACAGCGGCAGGCTTTTAAGTATGTATTCTTGTGACCATGCAGTTCCTCTGGGGAGACCTGATTTAATGAACTCTTACTTGTGCGTGCAGACCTTCTCCTTTGATATGTGGATTAGGCAATGGTGGGATTCTACCAGTTTCCCTAGTGGTTCGGTGATTGCGCACTTCGCACAGCTTCCCAAACACCAGCTGAGGCTCCGCCCACGTTCCTCCCCAACCTCCTCATTGTCCTGGCAGCTGGCAGGCCACAACCTCTGTATTATTTATACAACATCTTGCCAAAAATATTGAAATACCCCCCCCCCCCCAATTTTTAAAGAGAAACGTATTATCCTGAATTCCCGACTGCTTGGAATTTAACATGTTTGCAATAAAGATGGTTTTTTTTTTCATGAACTAATAATAGCAAAAGAATAATCTTTAAGAGATGGAAAAATGCTACAATTCCAAATATAAAGGATTGATTTTTCAGAGATGGGTGATTTTGCCATTTTGGGGAACTTTATATGTTTGGTTAATAAAAAAAAAGTCACATGATCTCTCCATTTGGAAAAAGATTCATGAACAAGCTTGGTTAATGTTGAAAGATTAATTTTTCTTTTTAAAGACTTACAAAATCGGGTGAATTTGGGAAGTAATTGTAATTACAGTTTCAAACTTTGCTTTATGCATTTTCTTGTGTAATGATAAGTTGTCTACTATATTATTTTAGGTATTTGAAAATGAATTAATAAAACCTAGTTTTGGGCGGGAGGGGCAATGCTTTTTCAACCGGTGGGGGGGGGCGTCTATTTTGTGTCTAGCAGATGCCCTTGTGGGTGGGGCATTTGGGATATGACATCACAAAATGGGTGTGGTTAAAATCGGTAGAGAGTTTGAAAGGTCAGTGGAGAACAGATAGGATGGGGTGTGACCAACAGTTGGCTTTGATGCCCACCGAGCTCCATGTTCTTCCTGAAACGTTTCAAAGGTAGACCACAAATTCTGGTCCACCTAACTCAATGCTCTTGAAGAGAAGGAATCCGAAGGCAACGGCTGGCTGGAGAATTCTGGGAGTTTTGAAGTCCACATGTCCACAGTTGGCCAAGGTAGAAAAACAAAGATGTTTTGCACCATTTGGATTGGTCCAAACGAAAGCCTCACCTTATGACCAACCTATACCGTAGTTGTGATTCATTTGCTAGTGCTCCAAAAGGGATTTGCACCCACCAGTAACTATGACATCAGCCCAAGTGAGAAGCACACATGACTCAGCCACCGGTGGTGGTGTCACAATTGCATCCAGGCCAGAAGCTCAAAAGTTGTGCAAGGGTGGGAGGTGGTGAGCAGGAAGGAAGGAGAAAGGAAATGGGAGCCAAGCTGTTCCCAGCTTCTTCCACTCCTGGTTGGTAGGAAGGGTGGGCAACCACCCTGGCATCTCCATGGCATCGGAACCACTTCGGTCCAGCAAGTCAAGGTGAGAGAGAACCTCAGAACTCTCAGCAAGGGGCAGCCACAAGTATGAGCAAGAATTCGTAACTCAGAGTTTTCCCCTGGTTCCCCCCCCTTAATCAGTGGAACAACTTGCCACTAGAAGTTGTGGGTGCTTCATCACTGGAGGTTTTTAAGAAGACTTTGGACAGACTGTTGTCTGAAACGGCATGAGGTCTTCTGCTTCAGCTGGGGGTTGGACTAGAAGACCTCCAGGATGCCCATTCAGCTCTATTCCTGAATTGGAATTTTTGAGTTCCTAAGAAATTTTTTCAGTTCCTAAGAGTCCCTTCCAGCTCTGTTAATTCTGAATGATGAGTCAACAGTTGCCTTCCAAATTCTGATTCATTTTTTTCAAGCTGCTTTGAGTTAGGACAGGTGGACCAGAATTTCTGTTCTGGCCCACCTGTCCACCATGTTCTTCCTGAAATGTCTCAAACATGGACCAGAAAATTCTGGTCCACATTTGAGACATTTCAGGAAGAATATGAAACTCCGGGGGCCTCAAAGCCAGATGTTAAATGAACAACGATTTACTGGACAATTGATTCTGGGTTTCCCCCCTGTTTTTTGATCTTAATGTCTAGCCTTACATTTAATTTAATATATATATATTTTAAAGATTGCAATAACGTTTGCAGGCCTTTCTTCACATTTCTGTACTGTGTTCATGCTTAAGTTTTATTTATTTACTTACTTATTAAGCAATTTTATAGAACCGTCCCAACTCCTGGGCAGCAACTCTGGGTACTGTACAACATTAAAACCCACTGTTAAAAGTCCACAATTTAAAACCGGCCACACCTCTTTACTTCTGGTTTCCATTAAAAACCACCCCAGAGCAGACAAACTTAACAAACATGGTGTTCAGTTAATGACCGCTATAAAGAAGGTTGCAAAATGACCAACAGGACTGGTGACTGTAACTGCCATTCTCAATGTATAGTCGTAAGTTGAGAATGTATGAATTGGTTTTGTGATAGAACACATCCTTGCTCTTCTATAATTGCCATCCATGCAAACCCCCTTATAAAAGTCCATGTTTCTGCCTTAAAAACCCCAAATCTTTTTTCAGTCTAACCTTATCTGGAACAAGCTTCTTGTATCGTTCAGTATACGAAATCTGACTTCTGACCCGTTTTGTCTGCTATAACGTCCTAACTGTGAACGACAACTTCAACTTCAACCACAATAACACACGGGCAAACAATAGATACAGACTCAAAGTAAACCACTCCAAACTCGATTGCAGAAAATACAACTTCAGCAACAGAGTGGTCGATGCCTGGAACTCACTCCCTGACTCAGTTGTTACATCCTCAAACCCCAAAAACTTTAACCTTAAACTGTGACCCTCACTCCATTCCTAAGAGGTCTGTAAGGGGGCGTGCATAAGCGCATCGGCGTGTCTATCGTCCCCGTCCTACTGTTCCCATTTATTTGTAGTTGTTTATTTTGTATATAGTTATACCTGTTTATACTTATATGTTTATATGCTATGTTCATACTTATACTTGTTTTCTCATACATGCTCGAAAAACTAAATAAAATAAAATAAATTCCATCCTTGGCTAAATCCTGCAGAACTCCATCTCTCTCTCTCTCTCTCTCTCTCTCTCTCTCTGTCTCTGTCTCTGTCTCTGTCTCTGTCTCTGTCTCTCCCTCCCTCCCTCCCTCTATTTATTTCATTTGCCTATGGGCCATATCAACGTACAGGTGCAAACAGATATTATCATATCCTTCTAATCATTGACTCCATTCCTGTCTCTCTTTTAATCTTCCTGTCTCTCTTTTAATCTTCCTGTCTCTCTTTTAATCTTCCTGTCTCTCTTTTAATCTTCATGGTTTCTGAGATCCAGCAGGCCTTCTCCGTTTTCAAGCCCAAGGATGAGATGCTCGGCTTTTAAAAACAATTCCTCAGATATTTAGGAAGGCAGCTTCTGCCCTTGCAAAACCCACTGAATGGGAATGGCTTTTATGATGTAAAACTAAAGCTAAATTTTGCAGAGCAGAAGCCTTAAATGTGGTAGGAAAAGCCTTGCCAGCTTAGAACAAAACGAGGGTGTTAGAACCGCCTTTAAACAGAATGTGGTCTCCCCAACCCAAACGGATCGCTGTTTTCCGAGGTTCTGAACAAGTTCATCTTTTTTTTCCGTAGGACAACACGAGCCGCTGAAGGGCCCACCTACAGTGGGGTGTGTAAATGTTTCTGCCGATCCAAGGGCCACGGCTTTATCACGCCTGGTGATGGAGGCCCAGAGATCTTCGTCCATATTTCTGAGTAAGCAAACCTTCTTTTGGAAACAGGGCGCTAGTCCTCTTGCTTTCTGGTAGTTGCAGAATTCAAAAGACAAGTAGCCTTCAACTTTAGAGGTAAAGAGTCCTGCGGATTTTACTCAGTTGTTGCCAACTACAGGGAACAGTCAGGGGTGGGATTCTACCGGTTCGGACTGGTTCTACAGAACCGGTTGTTATGGGTCTGCACAGTTCGGAGAACTGGCAAATCGGGCCCCTGGCTGGCCCCGCCCCTCTCCGCCCACCCTTCCCCTCCCAGTCAGTCCTTATCGCGCATCCCCGACATCGCTGACTGCGTTCTCCCCCGCCCAGTCACTCCTTAAGGTATTTCTTTTTTTCCCTCCCGACGATCAGCTGTTCCAATGATCAGCTGTGCCGGGATCCCCCTCGCTGTCTTAGCGCTTCGCCCAGGAGGCTTCCCTGAGGCCCAGGAGGCCAAAAAACGGGGGGAGGGGGTGTTGCAGAAGAAGAAGAAGAAGAAGGAGGAGGAGGAGGAGGAGGAGGAGGAGGAGGAGGAGGAGGAGGAGGAGGAGGAGGAGAAGGAGAAGAAGAAGAAGCCATGTCCACCCAGTCACATGGCCACGCCTACAGAACCGGTTGTTAAAAATTTTGAATCCCCTGGGAACGGTGCTTATTTCCACTTCAAGGCCCTTGTGCCACGGCTGTCCAGAGACATTTCCATGGTCAGATGTGAAGCAGGAGCAACGACGAAAACTCTGCCCGTTTCGTGGCGCTCGGGATTTGAACTCGGGCTGCCAGCTTTCTCTAACCCTAACTTTTCAACTTAGATCCATTTCTTTTAAAAAAAAAAAGCTTATAAAATTGGGTATGACTTGTTTAATGACCGCATCACTTAACGATGGAAGTTTGGGTCCCAAATGTGGTCGTACCTTTGAGGACTATCTGTAGGGAAACATAGTTGGAAATGAGCAATGATACCTGAGGAGAGAGTACCTGGTGGGCTTCAAATTCAGTATATGTTCATTTCATTGACAGTTTCTGAGCTGGTTGGGTACAATCAGGGTTCGGTCATCCCTTGAGACTTTCAAGAAGAGACCGGACTGCCATTTGTCAGAAATGGTGTAGGGTCTCCTGCTTGGGTGGAGGGGTTGGACTGGATGACCTACAAGGTGACCTTCCGACTCTGTTAATCTGTTAATTGCATTGCAGAGGTCAGCACAAAGGTCAGCGCAAAGGGAAAGCGAGGAAGTGGGTGGAAAACAAACTGCCCTTCTCTAACTCTATCATTTGCCCCGCAGAAGGGATGCAACAGGTAGTTTGGGTTGTTCCTTCTGCAAAACAAGGAGAAAAGATGGAAGGGAAGACAAAGAGGCATTTCAAGATAATAAGCAGGTTGAGAGCAGATTCTCGGTAGGAAAAAAAAGAAAGAAAGCCTGGTGCTTTGTAATTTAGATCAAAAGTAGGAGGGAGTCAAAGATAAATAAATTCACACACATGGTAGGTAAGGACACGTGGGTAGAAATGTATTCCCTCTTCCGGTGTTAGTACAGTGCGCTCAGCCACTGAAAATAATGTCGAGGGCCCATCCGAGGAGGTTGGTCTTTACAAGGGAGTCTGAGCCCCCAGCAGAACGTGCAGTCAGCAAGTGACGGACACCAAGGTAGACGGTTTTAAAAGTGGTCAAGAAATGGCTAGGAGGAAGGCTTGGCGGCTGTTCCCTATTAGCACGCAGGGTTTTTTTTAAGTGCCAGTCTTGGAAAGTATGTTTTGCGAAGAGTACCCAGACCATGACTTCTTTTGGCTCCAGAGACAATGAACACTCCAGGAAATACAGGGATTGTATTGAAGCAAACCACTGAAGCGCATAACGTAGCAACTCTGTGTGCCAAGCAAGAGGATACCCAGATGCCAAGGAACTCTTTAATAATGAAGGAGAAATGCCCCGTGGACACTTCCCACAACACCTAATGTTCCTTGTAGAAGCTCCCTCTTATAACGACCACCCCACAATTTTTAAAAATCGAAACCTGGTTACCAGGACTTCGTCGTGGTCTAAGGTCCAATCGACAGGCTTCAAGATCTGATCTTGCCTGGCTGGTGCATTTCTGGAGAGGGAATCAAAAATCGGAGACTTTCTCTGTGAGAAAAGCTTTGAAGCTACGTGAAGATGCCCTCCTTTCTCTAAAGCAGGGGTCTCCAACCGTGGCAACTTTAAGATGTGTGGACTTCAACTCCCAGAATTCCTCAGCCAGCTTTGCTTAAAGTTGCCACGGTTGGAGACCCCTGCTCTAAAGGATGGAGGGAATCTGTTCTCTTTTGTTCAGCAAGCAAAAGTGAAAAACCTGAGCTCTAAACTTCCAGACTTTTTCATTGTTTGAAGGGGAAATCAAAATATGTCACTATGCTCCTTGAAATAACAATAGTCTTCCACATTGCTAATATGAGGCAGCAGTGAAAAAAAATATAACCATATCTCTATCAATGTTTGTGAGGTTTCTGAATGACCCTGGTTGATCATTTCAAGGCAAAGAATTGGGATGGAAGAGGAATAAGCTATTTTGGATCCTCCAGAAGTTGGAATCATCCACACTTCTTTGGCATTGGCTATGCTGGCTGGGCTTGTTGGGAAAATCCAAAACTTCTGTAGAGCAGTTAGAGTCACGGCCTTAATCCAGCTTCAAAGCTCTTTTCATATTCTGGTGTTCATGTTGGCGCAGAAGATTGATCTTGGTTTTCTGGTACATCGCGTGGATTAGATGATGGATGAGAAGAAGCTAAGCCTGATGGAGGTGTCCCAAAGGTGCTTTTCGAAGAGGCAACTGGACTTTCTTTGTTTTTGCTTGAAGATGTTTCACTTCTCATCTAAGAAGCAGCTTCATTCAGAAGCTGAAGAAGCTTCTTGGATGAGAAGCGAAACTTCTTCAAGAAAAAAACAAAGTCTAGTTGCCAGTTGAAAAAGCACCTCTGGGACAGCCATGACCTGGATGACTGAGAACATAGACTAATAATGGCTTGTTCAAAAACAAACAAACCATAGCTTAGTTCTTCTCTTCAGTTCAGGTGGAGTTATCCGCCATTCATTCAGAAGCTGAAGAAGCTTCTTGGATGCGAAGAAGCAAAACGTCTTCAAGGAAAAACAAAGGAAGTCCGGTTGCCTCTTGAAAAACCACCTTTGGGACTGAGAATCTCCACAGACCTGATGGAAGTGGTGGGTTGGGAAAGCCGATTCCCTTCCATTAACGTAGTTGTGGTCTTCTTTCTTTCTCTTGCAGTATCGAAGGAGAGTATGTTCCGGTAGCTGGTGATGAGGTCACCTACAAGGTGTGCACCATTCCGCCGAAGAATGAGAAACTTCAAGCTGTAGAGGTCAACATCACTCACCTAGCTCCGGGCACAAAACATGAGACGTGGTCGGGACACGTGATTAACTCCTAGACGGAGTTCTGCAGCCATGTTGACTGAAGAGGACTATTGGATCGTGTTCAACAGCCCGATGAGTTTTCTGCAGATTGTGTAATGGAAAACAGGGTTCCAAAGGTGGCCAGATTAAAAAAAAAACCCTTTTTTTTTACAAAAAAAAAAGAAAGAAAAATAGCACCATGATTTTCAAAGTATACAAATTTAATAAGTGGAAAAATCGTAGTTTTCGGGCTGGCAGGAAAGCAGAAGTTTAGATCTTGCTTTACAATTTGAATGTTGTTTTTTTTATTATTCATTGATACTCAAAAGATCTTAGAAAGATCTCATCGGAAGCGGAGAAATTGGAACGAAAGATGGCATCCTCTGGGTGGCCCTTCCTCAATCTGATACCTTTCAGACCTTGAACTTCACGCTCAGAAGGCTAGGCTGGCTGTGCAGCATGGTGTTTGAAGTCCCAACTCATCTGAATAGATCAGATTGAAGAAGGCAGAAGCAGCTGGTTAGTCAAAGAGGTGTTCCGCTTTGGTGGGTAGTGTTAAGGGGCAAATCATTTAGGATAATGTTTCTTTGCTTTATAGCAGAAAATTACTGATTTTGCTGGTTATTATTATTGTTTGTTTTCTTTTTTAGATTATGGAAAGAAACCAAGGGTAATAGCTTGAGGAAATACCTACAGAGGATTTGTGTTCCTATCATTTGATATTCTTCTTCAACATTTTAGAGCAGTTAAAAGGGCAAAAAATGCAGCCTTTTCACATAGAAACTTTTTTTCACATAGTGTTTTGGTTGAATATTTGTGTGTTGGTTGCTTTTATTTTAATTTTTCTCAAAAAATATACACATCAGATTTTTTGGCAGTGGCTTGCTGCATGTCCCTCCCTCCCTCTCTCTCTCTCTCTCTCTCTCTCTCTCTCTCTCTCTCTCTCTCTCTCACACACACACACACACACACACACACACACACACACACACCTCTACCTGATTCAAACTTTGAAATCATTGTCGTCTTCTTCTCTAGCTGACAATCTCTGCTATTACAGCTGTTGTGGGCATGCACATATTTAAAGGTTTGAGGTTTGCAGTTTGCAGTTCATCTTCGTTTCAAAAATGCTTTTGCTATTTGTCCAGCAGAAAAAAAAACGTCCTGAACAGTATTTAACTTTTAAGAGGGAGTGGTGGAGGGAAATGAGATATTTGGCATGAGTTCCCTTTGTGGGAGGGAGTTGTGTGGAAGTATTAACAGTCACTGACAAATGACAGATAAAATATTGCAAATAAAATACTTGAGGCTTGAGGAAACCTGGAACTGTCTGTGCTGTTTCTTAAACGAAACACGTCCCATTCTGTGCTGTGTTGCAAAATTGTCTCTTTAATTTTCTCCGGAGGGTGACTGGGAGGGGTGTGAGATACAGGTAATCCTTGACTTACAACTGTTTGTTTAGTAGTAGTAGTAGTAGTAGTAGTAGTAGTAGTAGTAGTAGTAGTATTTTATTGTCATTGCACCTCGTGCAATGAAATTAAAGGCCATCTTCAGTGTACATCATAACTATAAAAACATACAGTATGCCACACATGCTGTACCTGTGCACTTGATTTTTCTTGCCTCAATGTAGAACCTTATTCTTTGCACCATTGAGTTTCATTTTGTTAGATTCACTTAACAACTGGGAAGAAAGGTTGTAAATTGGGGCAAAACTCACTGAACAAATGTCTCACTTAACAGCGGAAAATTTTGCGCTCAAGAAGTTGAGAACTCTCTGTGTTCACAACGGTTGTAGGATCCTGGGATCATGCGATCACCATTTGCAAAGTTCCTTGCTGGCTTTGGACAAGCAGAATTAATGGGAGAAATAGATTCACTTAATGTCCTTATTCAGTACAGTGATGCACTTAAAAACCATGGCAAAAAAAAAGCCCTTAAAATTAGGTGTAACTCATTTAAGCTGCAGTGTAACTCTCTTAACTCCCTCATTGCTTTGCGTAGCGATGTAAATTCTGGTTTCCATTGTGGTTATATTGCACCTAGTTTTGGTCGCCACGATATAAAAAAGATGTTGAGACTCTGGAAAGAAGAGCAACAAAAATGCTTAGGGGACTGGAGACCGAAACCTATAAAGAACGGTTGCAGGAATTGGGTATGTCTAGTCTAATGAAAATAAGAACTAGGGAAGACAAGATAGCAGCGTTCCAATATTTGAGGGGCTGCCACAAAGAAGGCAGAGTCAACTTATTTTCCAAAGCACCTGAAGTCAGACAAGAAACAATGGATGGAAATTAATCAAGGAGAGAAGCAACCAGAAATAAGCAGAAATTTCCTAACAGTGAGGACAGTCAACCAGTGGAGCCGCTTGCCTTCAGAAGTTGTAGGTGCTTCCATCACTGGAGGCTTTCAAGAAGAGATTGGGAAACCACTTGTCTGGAATGGTATAGGGCCTCCTGCTTGGGCAGGGGGGATGGACTGGAAGACCTCCAAGATCCCTTCCAAATCTTATTCTGTCATCAGTCGAGGACTACCTTTGTCTGTTTTCCGATGGCCCCGTCCTCTTTCCAGCCTCCCTGGCTTAGCTCTTGAATTTAATCTCAAGGAAAAGTGTTAAAAGTCTCTCTTTCCCCCCCACCCCGGATTAGGAAGTGTGGTACCCAGAAGAAATGCAAAGTTGCATCACAGGAAATGCAACAGTTACACCCTCTGCATCGCCCAACAAAATCTGGTAAAAAAAAATGCTGCCAAGAGAAACTCAACCCCCCTTGAGGAGGTAGAAAAGCCTTTTTTGCAAAGCACCGCAGGGTCAGTCGATTGCCCCGGTGGATTTGGGCATAGCTTTCACTGCAGCTGATCATTGCGAGTTCAATTAGCAATCCAAAAAAACCACAAACAAACCCCATGGAGACCAAGCTCCTTGGCAAGGGAGGGCAAGGTGATCTTTGCACAGATCAGGCACACGTTTACACACTTGAGGTGCTTTGCAATTTGGTGACAAAGGGAACCCACACCTGAGTGGGTGGCTTTGTTCTTCACCTTGTTCTGCCTGATTTTTTGCTGGGTGATTCAGGTTCTGTTCAGTTAAAAATGCCACTTAAAATGGCACCACCCAAGGCCAGATTAATTTTTATTTGTTTGTATAGTGTAAGAGAGAGAGGGAGGGGGGGAGAGATAGAGGGAAAGGGGGAAAGAGCCAGGAGGGGAGGGGAGGAAGAGAAAGGGAGAGATAGAGGGAAAGGGAGAGAGGGAAGGAGAGGGGGAGAGAGATGGAAAGAGAATTCTTCAAATTGAGTCAATTAAATAATAGAAGTCTGAAAGTGAGGTGGGGGGAGGTTATGAAAATCAAAATAAAAAACAATTTATGAATTCTGGCTACCTCCTGCTGCTCATCCAGATCTGGAAGTCTGAATCTTGCCAAGCCAAGCCACAAGCTTCAAGGGTTGTTTTCTTTTCCTTTCCCATGGAGATCGCATCGCTGTTTTTAATAATTCACTAATCTTATAACTCCCACCTGCCTTTGCAGCCCTCTGGTAGCTGTGCTTGGTTTACTCTCATGCATAGATGTATATTGCTGGCCAGAACCAGTGAGTTAGGCAGCAGAGAAATTGCAACGTAGAAATTTAATAAATTATTACTATGGGTGGTCACAGTCAGCCAGATGTTTAAATTGGATTTGGCATCTTCACCTATCCAGTCTTTCCCAAAATTTGGGATAGGTCGATCTTGTTTCAGGGCTCATGGTTTATGGTGGTGAGTGTCTTGACTCATATTTATGACTGTGGATGTGTCCTGTGATCCCCTTTTGCGACCGTCTGACAAACAATGCCAATGGGGAAACAACTTGCAAGGATTAGCTTAAAACTGTGGCAACCAAGTCACAAAATGGAGCAAAACTCACTTAGCAAGGAAAATTTGGGCTTAATTGTGGTCATAAGTGGAGGACTACCTGTAGTGAAAAGGTTTGGTTTTTAAAAGTCCTCTTTAACATCTCTGCAACTTCAGAGATGAATTAGTGCAAGAACAATTCCGTATTTCTGGTAACTCTGTGCTATTTATTCCTCTTTTGCCTTTCCTTTCCATTGGCAGGAAATACATTCCATGGACTTGTTGGCTGCTTTTAAGAAAACACACATCTTCCCACTTCTCTTTACGCAATGCTGAAATATATTAGTTACGCTATTTCTGGACTTCTATTGAAGCCCGGTCCAAGTCCACTTCCTTCATCTTGAATTGGGGACATTTTGGCCACATTCCTCTGCTTTGTCTAATTAAGATTAATTACACGCTCCTGGAAGTGGGAAGGATGCGGAAGCCCAGCCCAGCCCACTCCCCAATCTTTACTCCCAGGTTCCTGGGAGATTTCAGTAAGGAGTTTTCTACAAAGGAAGCCATTTTGACATCTGCGTGTTTTTTTAAAAAAAAAATGCTTTAATGCCTTGACGTCTTTAAGTCGGGTGGAAAATACTAGACTGTGCAGAGATGGATAGATTGACATTAAAAATAAAGAACAAAGAAGACACAGAATATTACTTAACATGGAATAGATTTTACAAGTGGTTAGAGATAAGAGGTGGAAATTAGGCGAAGAAAGGTGACTGCTATCTATGAATTAAATATAAAGAGGGTTTATAATTATAAATATGCTGATATTAGCAGAATTATAAATAAGCTAATATGAAGAGAAATCTAGTCAAAATTATTATTACACTATTACTATTGTTATTAGTATAAATGTTAATATTTCTGTTTGTTTTCCTTTTGCTTTTTCGTAAATCATATGCCCCGACAATACACAGTTTTCAAAATGTTTATGAATAAAAATAAAACACATACTTAAAAAAAAAATTGGGGTGGACTTCAGCACTGCCAAAATTCTGCAAAATTGAAGTTCACACTTTTTAAAGGTGCCAGTTTGACAAAAACGTAAGGCCAGACAAGGAATAACAGATGGAAACTTAACAAGGAGAGATTCAACCTGGAAATGAGGAGAAACTTTCTGACAGTGAGAACAATCAACCTATGGAACAGAAGTTGCCTTCAAAAGTTGTGGGAGCTTCATCATTGGAAGCTTTCAAGAAGAGACTGGACAGCCATTGGTCAGATATGGTGTAGGATCTCCTGCTTGGGCAGGGGGGTTGGACTAGATGACCTACAAAGTCCCTTCCAACTCTGGTAATCTGTTATAAGAGACTTCTGGCTTTTGCTACTAACATGGCCCTCCTACAACAGTAAACTATTTCAAGTGAAAATTGAAAAGTTAAGTTATAGGTTTACCAGGTATTCCAGTATCTTAATTACAGAGCTATGACTGCAGTAAATCATGCTTACAATATGTGCTTCCTGTGGCACATTTATGCCTCAGGATGCTAAAAACCTAAAACTATAACTTTAAATTGGTAAAATCTGGATATGTGTTGTAAATCAGCGCTTCCTAACCTTTTTGGCACCAGGGACCAGTTTTATGGAAGACAGATTTTTCCACAGACTAGAATGGGAGGGAATGGTTTCATGCGCAATTTAGATCCTGCACATGCGCAGATGAAGCTTCATTCGCTTATGCGGCGCAATTCCTAACAAGCTATGGACTGGTATCAGTCTGCAGCTTGGGAATTGGGGACCCGTTGTAAATAATCCCTAATAAAATAATGTTTATGTTTCTGTAGAAAAGTATAGAGACTGCCTAAAAATATGAAAACGATGACAGCACAATGGTGCAAAATTAATGATTTTTCCTGGAACACACATGACTCAAAATTGGGGCCCAACATACTTTTTTTAAAAATGGTCTTTTGCTTCATGCGTAAAGCACATATTTTGTGGAAGGAAGGAGCACCCCTTAGTTTCCTTTGAGATCCTGAATTAAACCGATATTACAGAAGCTTGAACAAACCAAAGCCTGGTTTGCTCCCAATGAATAAGGAACCAAATCCATCTTCCTGTGGTTTATTCAGGAACTGTCAATCAGTGTGGTGAATTTGATTCTCCTTCTTTCAAAAGGTCAGTTAGGTTAAATTAAGTAGGGCCTTACATTTGAAAGTCAGTGTTGCAATGAAGTTGCTCTCCTTCCAGCTTGATTAAAAGGCAGACTTCAAACCTCTCAAAAGGCAGAATAAGGCCGGTCCTGATTTTTAAAGTCAGGTTCAAGAGTTTTTGAGCCTCCTGATAGTTTCAGTCATCTCAAAATCTCAGGAATGACAACAGCTGTTTCTGGATTCAGGGGTGGAAAGAGATCGAACAACGGACAGAAGATGCAAACGATTCATTTTAATGAAAGAGGATCCAGCTTCATCCAGAAATACAGTACAGTACAGTTTCCAGAAATCTCATTGCAGATCAACCCGGTTGATTTTTTTTAGACTTGAAAACCCTCCAGTCTTCCTCCAGTGCATTAAATCTCAAACATAAAAGGGAAGCATCAAACTCTATCCCAGATTCAAGAAGGGCTCAGAACAAAGGTGGACTCGAAGGGAGGAAAAGTCAGGATATCTCTCTCAACCCAGCTTCCCAGGTGATGTTCCCCAGGTGTTTTGCACTACCTGTCCAAAAAAAAAGGCTCTACAGTGGGAAGGGCCAGACTGCAGGCATGGCATGAGAATGGAGGGTCATAAACACAGGGTCAGCCAACTTCCTTCAAGAGACATCCAAACGTCATTGGAACAAGAATATCCTTGTTCTGTAGCAGAAAAACCCAATCACGACCCAACAGTTAAGAATTACTCAGCACTAAAAAGACATAACAGCTCAGATTGTGCAGTTTTGGGCAGTGGAGTTCTACCCCACAGGTGATTTGTGAAATAGCTTGGCACCAGAGGTGGGATTCCAAATTTTTTTACTACCAGTTCTGGGAGAGAGTGTGTCACATCCATGCGCGGCATTCAAAATACACCAATTTCAAGCACTACAGCTTACCTGCTAGGCAGCCCTGATAAGTAGAACAGCTGAGACGCGGGAATGCATTGTGCTGCGCAAATCAGCTGAGCTGAAAAACGCGGAAATATAGGAGCGGGGGCGATTGGGTGAGGCCAGCTGCTTGTGGTGAAGCTGTGCAAGCGTCGTGAGCTCTTCTCACAAATTGTTGGGGAGTGGGGGAATGAGGGGCACCGGAGAGGGGCCTCGGGAGACAAAGCAAATCCTGCGGGAGCTTCCGTGCTAAGAAAGGGTCTCCATGGTTAGGACTCATCCCCTAAAGTTAGGAGGCTCCAGAGCAAAAATCTGAGCGACTTTCATTTTTGAGACCTCCCCTCCTCTGCTTTCCACTTGGAAAACGGCTGTTTCCTTCTCAAGAAGGAACTGATCCCCAAACCGCAAGTAAGCCATCCAACCGGCTTTTATTCTGGGGAACCAAGTTTGTGCAAAGATGGTTTATGAACCCTGGACTGGGGCTCATATTACATGGTGCAAAATCAATGCCGTTCCTTGCGCAAACAGAGGGGAAGAAAGCACAGCATCGTGCAACATGCCAGCTCAGAATAGCCGAGCGGACGGATGGGATAGTTGGAGATCCTTCCTCTCCTTTCCGCCACCTCCCCCGACCCCCCGGCCCCCGTACTGATGCTACCCTAACCCTTTCCCCCTGGTTTCCATTATTTGGATTCAAATCGTGGTCCTGAACCTGGCTTGCGTCCTTTTGGTGCAAAAAGCGGCCTGTGATCTATTTGAAAAACAAGGCTTCGCATATCTCTCTCGTCTGCTCGGGCGAAGAGACACTGTGCCCGACGGTTCTGGGATCCGTGTAAATTTCGTAGTCGTTTCCACCCTGCAAAGGAGACCAACAGTGTAAGAAATCGATCCCAGAGAACGAAAGAAGAAGAAGAAGAAGAAGGAGGAGGAGGAGGAAGAGGAAGAGGAGGAGGAGGAGGAGGAGGAAGAAGGAGAAGGAGAAGGAGAAGGAGAAGGAGAAGGAGAAGGAGAAGGAGAAGGAGAAGGAGAAGGAGAAGAATCATAATCTCTCGGCCCACTTTGCTCAGCAAACACATTTCTTTGCTGCCCTTGAAAAAGTAGCTCAAAAAATTATTCCTGCTAAAAATTCTCGTCTGTTTTTCAGCAACTACGTTCTAGAGCAGGGGGTCTCCAACATCTGGCCACGGCCTGAAGGAGCTGCCGTAAATTGAATTGAAAGTTTCATTCCTGTTTTCAGGTTGGAAAAAAACATGTGGCTTGAAATCCAGGAAGGAAATCTCTCCACAGTTCTCCAGCTCTATGTTTAACTGGCTACTTTAGAGAGAATATCTTTCTGAAAAATAAACCTTGGGCAAAAACTGCAGAGCTACTGATTAGATAAACAGCTTTTGGGTTTCACCCAAAAGTTTTCACACTTTGGAGAGTCATTATTATTGAATGCAAGGGTCCCCAAACTTGGCAACTTTTAAGACTCGTGGACTTCAATTCCCAGAAAAGCTGGTTGGAGAATTCTGAGAGTTGAACTCCACAAGTCTTAAAGTTGCCAAGTTTGGAGACCTCTGGTGTAGGTCATCAACTATTTGATCAACTACTGCCTGAGCTACACTGCAACAATGAAGCTCCCCAGGAAAAGGTAGGTGCACAGGTGTTTTTTCCTATACAGGTAGCCTTCGACTTTACAGATTTACAGAGTGGGAAGGGACCTTGTAGGTCATCTAATCCTACCCCCACCCAAACAGGAGACCCTACACCAGAGGCCTCCAAACCTGGCCACTTTAAGACTTGTGGACTTAAACTCCCAGAAAAGCTGGCTGGAGAATTCTGGGAGTTGAAGTCCACAAGTCTTCAAGTGGCCAAGGTTGGAGATACCTGCTCTAGAGGGAAGAATTCTATACAGGCAATCCTCAACTTACAACTTTAAGTTTAGCAACCATTTGAAGTTGCAACACACTGAAAAAAGTGACTTATGACCGTTTTTCACACTTACGATCCTTGCAGCATCTCCGTGGTCGTCTGATTAAAATTTGAACTTTTGGCAACTGGTTCATATTTATGATAGTTTCATTGTCTTAAGGGTCATATAATCACCTTTTGCCACCTTCTCACAAGCGAAGACAACGGGGAAGCCAGTTTCACTTAAAAACCCTTTGGTGCTGACTTAACAACTACAATGACTCACTTAACAACTGCAGCAAAAAACGGTTATAAAAAGGGGCAAAACTCCCTCAACAACTGTCATGGTTGTGCTTTTCCAGGAGGCAACTGGATTCCCTTGTTGTTGTTTTTTCTTTTGAAGATGTTTCGCTTCTCATCCAAGAAGCTTCTTCAGCTCTGACTGGATGACTTTTATTCCTTGCCTATTTCTTCCCCACTATCCTTCCTGTCAAGAGCTGGAGAAGCTTCTTGGATGAGAAGTGAAACGTCTTCAAAAGAAAAAAAAACAAAGAAAGTCCAGTTGCCTCCTGAAAAAAAATCCCCTTTGGGACAACCAGGACTTGGAGGACAGAGAATCTCTACAGACTGGACCGTACCAGCTTCTTCTGGCCGCCTACTCACCGGCATGGTCTTATCTCCAAAGAAATAGATCTTCTCGAAGTTGTCCTGGGCCACAATTCCCAAGCAGTACCGTTTGTCCCAACCATTGGGGAAGACGTCGAAGCTGATCTGCCCTCCTGCAGAGGTCAGAGAGAGAAGAGGATGAGTGGGACGAGCGGCAGACGTGTGACAGAGCTGCTCTGAGCAAAGCGGGACACCGAAGGGAGCCAACATCCAAAGACGAAGAACGCAGGAACCATGAATGAATCCAAGGGACTGTTCAGTCCTGGCCAGAGACGGTGACATGTTCAAATGTCTCTCTAACAGGGCAATGCTAGCTCTAATGGGGGTGGGGGGAATTCAAGGGTTTCCAAAACTCCATGAAAAAACCCTCAGGTGGTCAGTTATGAAGCTGTGGTGGATTACAGGGAGTCCTCGGCTTAGAATCCTTTGTTTAGCAACCATTCAAAGTTACAGCAGCATGGAAAAACTAGCTTATGACTGCACTTATGACCGTTGCTGCATCCCCCTCCCCTCAGGTGGCCAAAATTAGGGCACTTGGCAACTGGCATGTATTTATATGATGGTGTTCTAATCCAGCTCCCAAAACACGACAAACCCTCTGTAGTTATTGTGGTTAGCTGGCTGCAGGTGTGGACGGCTGAGGAGAGCGAGGACTCAGATGAGGGGCCAGGACCGTTAGGGAGTGGACTGCTGCCTTCAGAGATTGTGGGGGTGGTAGCAGCGATGAAGAGGTCCCCGAGGAGCCTGTGCCAAGTGCGTGTGCGCACAGGATTGCTTGCAGGAAAGAGCAGCTGCAGCAGCTCGGGCGACTCGGGAGTAAGGCTGCAAGGTAATGGCCCCTCCTTCAAGAAGATAAAAGCCAGCTGTGAATCGGACGTTCTTTGCAGGAAGCAAAGATGTTTTGAAACTCAAGCCTCGTGGACATTCCAGTATCTTAGTTGGTATTTGAAGACTCTTGTAAAATATTTCTAGGTAACCTTATCTGTTATTCTTGGCAGCCTCGCACAGTTTTGGTGAGGCTCGTGCTTATCAAAGTTAATTAGTTTGAAGCAGCCTTTTAACCAGGGATTCGTAAGAATCATTAAAAGGTTTCTGTTCCCTTTGGTTTGTGTTTGTTTTATTGGACAAGGATTTGGGTCAGAACAGTAGCTGAAGCAATGATTCCTTTATTAGGAGCGCCAGCAAAAAGTTTCCCTTTCACTGCAGGCTAACAAGTCTGTCCGGCAGGGAGATGAATAATTGTCTGCCACACCCATTCATCTCCGCCCCCTGCCTTTTATCCCCAGAGATAGGGTGGGGCCTCATTAGCAGCGGTGGCTCTTCCGTCCCAAGGACCGGCCCATAGATTTCCACTGCTCTCCTCTCCTCCGCCTTCTATGCATCTGCACGTCAGGCACTGACCCAGCTGTTCTTCCTCTTCCTCATCAGCCACATCCGGACATGGGGGCTGTTGATTCTCCATCTGAGGGCTGATGGATGGCCCAGGCTCTGCCTCTCTCTCTCTCTGCCAGCTCCATTCCCGCTTCCCCCTTGGAGCTCTCAGGCTGCCTCCCTGCTAACCCAGACCCCCAGGTCTCCTCCTTATCTGATTCAGCTGCTGGAGGGGCTTGCGGCTGACAGGCCACAAACTGCAGTGTCATGGACTCACGTGATCATCACTTGTGACCTTCCCAGCCAGCTTCCCACAAGCAAAGTTAATGGGAGAAGCTGCATTGCTTAAGGACAGGTGGTTCACTTAACAACTGCAGTTGATTTGTAGTTGCAAAACTGGGTGCAGCTCACTAAACAGTCGCTTGGCTTAGCAGTGGAAATTCTGCTCCCAATTACAGTCATAAATCAAGGGCGACCTTCATATATGGTTCTGAAGAGCTGGGGATCCTGGAGAGTCACCGCATCCCCACAGTAAATCTGAACCATTATGGCATGTCGTAACTGCACCCTCTTACATAAACTTTTCAGCCCTGAAAGAGCCCACCTGGAAGACTAGCTGTGTGTGTGTGTGTGTGTGTGTGTGTGTGTGTGTGTGTG